CTGGAAAGAAGAAAGGTGCCATGCTGTGCTACAGGGAGAGCTGGGAAAAGACTGGCAGTCCTGGGACCAAGGATCAAGGCAGAGAGGGCATCAGTCAGCTCAGGTACCGCAACATAGCAGCTCTGACTCCACAGCTGCTGGACAGTCTTGCTTTCTAGCTCAGGCAGGTGTGCCCTCTGCCAGGGCCTAGGAGCAACATCTCACAAGACCATGGCATCCAAAGCCACAAAGTTCAGAGGAAAGAAAATTCCCACTGTGATCCCTGCTTAGCAGAACTGGCAGTAGCTAAAGGTGTCTATTTCCATGGAGAATCCCAGAAGAAAACACTGAAGAAAGCTAGTAACTTCATGTTCAAGGGAAGTTTCTTTTTGCTTCTTCCAGATGATCCTTGATCCTTTCAATAGTAGGTCCCAAACTGGTCTGAGATTTGCTGCCAAACATCTTCCATAAGGATGTGTAGGCTAAGGTTGCCGAACCCTAGAAATCTCTTTTTGGAGAGAGGAGTTACCAGTCATTTTTCCTCCTCTGAGTTCTGGGAAATTCTCTCTTCCATTTGTCTCCATAAGCACCTTAGGAGTACCTGGGGGACACTCCAGCGTTGTATGCAGGTGGGAAATGCAAGGTTCTAAACCCAGACACCACCTCCCTTAAAGGGAAAATAGGAAGAGAAGATACAGTTTTCATCTAGAAGAAGAGAGGAGGCCTACACTTAAGCTTACGGAGGGCGAGGGTGTAATGGCAGCTCCTCCCATCCCTGTCTTTCTTCCTTCCCTGTAGCAGAGGCTCAAGCCCTACTGGTAATACTGCAAGTCAGGAAGCCCCCATCTTAGTCTCATCTTGGCTATTAAGTAGCAGTGTAACCTCAGACAAATAGCTTCTTCTCTCTGGGCTTCATTTTTCCAACCTATAAAAATGAAGGTTAGTACTCCAGTACTTCCAGTATTTTGCCAACATGTGGCCTGGAAGTGCCAGTAAGCTAAAAATAAAAGTCACCCCTTGATCAGCAAGCACTACCATGTGCCAGGCGCTGTGCGAGGTACTTTGCTCTCTCACTGAATTCCCGAATGGACTCTGTAAGGTGGGTATTACTGACCTACTTTACAATATATGAAAACTGAGGTTCCAAGAACTTAATTAAGTTCCCTAGAGTCCATCTCTACTGTCAAGTTCCAAAGCCTTTTCCACTCTGACACATGTTCTGCCCTGGGAGGCCTGAGTTCCCTGCTCTGGGTTCCAGAGTTCTGGAGCTGAATCTAAGGAAGCCATTTCACCTGACAGAGCCTCAGAGTCCTGTCAAAAATAGTACCTGCCCTGCCTTGGTCTAGGGAAGCTGGGAAAGCAGTAAGATCTGAAGGAAGGTAAACTGTGAGAAGTTTCTAGGATGGAAGAAATTATTATTTCACATAGTTCAGGCTATTAGGAAAGTAAAGACACTGTGCCTGTTCAGGATGGGAGTGAAGGGGCATGGAGGCTGGAGAGACAGGAAATGGCCAAGATAGTGGGGCAGCAAAAGGTTAAGATGTAGGGAAGGAGGGGGTAGCTCTCAGGCAAAGAAGGCTTCTTGGGGAGATGACCCAATCCCTCCCCTGACAGCCCCTGTATCGCCTCTGAAACAGACACCCTGTCTCCACCTTTCTGCCACCTTTCCCTCCTATCCCAGACCCAGAGGGCAGACCTCAGTTTTCATCACAGAAGTACCCCAGTACCTAGTCTGGGACCTGCCCAGACAGAGTAGGGGCTCAGCAAACATTTGGGGAATTACTGGATCAAAAGAAAGCCTCCCCTAGTCCCCATTTTCCCTCCCCCAAGGAAGAGGTGTGTTTGGAGTAGGGGCCCAGCAGGATATGCACATTCCTGGCAAGAAGGGACCTACCTGCCTACAGCCAGAAAGGAAGTTTTGGCCAAAGGCAGAGGAAGGGGGATGGGGGGGTGTCTAAGTATGAGGAGGTGCCTACACAGAAAGCTACAGGGGCAGGCCCCTTTGCAAGTTGGGCCCAGCCTACCCTGCCCCTGGCATTCTCCAGATTGGTGTCAGGCAGGCCCTTCCCTCCAGAGGGCTCAGGGGTTCCCCAATTCCATAACTTCTGGGAAGTCTGCCCAGGACTGGGAAAATGATGAAACCCCTACCTAGGCATCCAGCAAGCCCTTAGTGCCAGGACAGAAGGTTCCTGTGATCTCCCCTAACTTAGTGCCAAGGCTGGAGCCAAGGTAAAGGAGGGCCTAAGGATCTAGGAGTAGAGATTCAGATCTCACCCTGGGCCCACACTGTATGCAAGGGAGGGGGCACTGAAAATGCCACCTTGCCCCGCTGACTAGAGTGTGAGCAATACCAGTTGGGGAATCCCCAACTCACAGTGTTTTCAGAGATTCTGATCTAAGGACACCATGGGAGCTGGCAAACCATCAGGTGCGCAGCCCCTGCACCTTCCCTCCAGCCACCAGGTAACAAAGAACCCAGAACTCAGGATAACACAAAATTCCTCAAGTTAAAAAAAACAAAAAGTCTGCAGACTTCCCTGCAGGGGTCTGCCATGGAGGCTACCCTTCAGGCAGGCAGTTCTGTCTAGCCAGGCCCGCCTTCCACCTCTGTACCTACTAGCTAGTTCATAGGTAGATGGGCGTGGGCTGCTCAAAATGCTGGGTGCCCACAGGGCATGGTGGCCAAGAGGCCACTGGGTTCCTTGGTCTTCCACAGAATAGGAGCTTCTGGGTTCAGCGGTGGGACAAACAGACTTCCCGCAGCTACAGGCCACAGATGATCACACTGCTCTTTCTCTGTGTGAAGCAGCAGCACTCTGGCCAACCCTAGCCCCCTTAAGCTGTGCTCCCGTGAGCCTCAATTCCGGACCTGAGGCGGATGCGATGAAAACCGGGTGAAGATGCTGAAGTTCAGGTAAAACCCGCATTGGCCAAAATGCTCCTGGGCTTACTTGGGAATCACCGATGTGGCAGCTTCAGACGCAGATTTGCTCCTCCGGGTCCGCAACCCCTATCCCCAGCGGCGGGAGCCACAGTTAACTGGCTGAGAGATCTGGCCCTGGGGTACTAGGCACGCGGTGATCTCCTTAAAACTAGGCGCCTAGCTAGGAACTGGCCAGGAGGAAGTGACAAGGGAGGCCACGGTGCAAAGTAAGGAGCAGGGCATGCTCTGGGTTCCCCTGTCCTTTCCCCCCAACCTAGAGAGACAGAGGTGGGTGGGATGCGGGTGTGTTCATGAAGTCACCCCCGGTAGGGAGAGAGGGAATCCGGAATTCCGCATCCCGCGAAATTGCACAGCCCTTTACCAGGGCAGCCAGGATCCCAGATCAAAGGTTTAGGGCGCCCCGCGTTCTAGCGCCTTATGCTCTGCTCTGGAGCAGCCCAGAGAAATTTGTTTAGCGTTGACGGGGAGGCCAGGCTTGAGCGCCGCAGGTCAAAAAGGGGTATTGGCTGGGGGTGGGGGTAGCTTCCAAGGGAGACATTAAGAGTCCTCAGTGTGTGTGTCTGGAGGGGGGTTGTCCTGCTTGGTCCTTTCAGGATACTTCCCAGGTGGCCTCTCGGCCCCCGATGCTGCTCTCTCTTCTCCTACACGGTGGGGCCAGGGCTCTCTCCCCTTTTGGCACCGGCCAGATCGCTCCCTCACCCTCCACCTTCAGCGCAAGAAATCACAGGGGTTTCCAGACGCTCTCAAGTCGCCTAGAAGTTTTCCGCTGTGTCTCCGAGCTGACTAAAGGATGGGAAAAAAGGGGTTGACTGGCTCCGGCACTTCCGAGGTGCGACCTCAGCAAAACGAGTCCCCTCCTCACCTGGCACGACGCGGCGGGGAGGTCCGCGGTCCCTACCCTTCCCCGTCCCCCTACGTTCTTATTTGCCTTCAGCCCGTCTCGGGGAGTCCCGCACACACTGGAGATGGGGTGGGGTTGGGGGAGCCCACTTCACCACTTCCCTTCCCAGCTCAGGAAAGTCCGGGTGGGGAAGTATTCTTTGTCTAACTCAGGGCGGGGGTCGGGGGTCGTGCCCCCTTACACCCCATTCCCAGCCGCAACGCCGGAGGGGGCGGGGTCCAGATTCTTGGGGAAGAGCCGGCCTC